CGCATTTTTTCCCATTTAAAGTGTGCTCGGCAATTTTTTTATATGGAAGACAAAATCACAAATCAACGGTATTTTCTAGCCACTTGAAACTTGCACTTTATTGCACTAAAATTGAACGGGCTACAAAACTGCATACCAAAAAGTTTTCTAAAAATTCTGAATAAAAAGTTTAAAAATTTGGTGAATAGCCAGGCTTTTATATAGAAACATAAAATAAACCATGGAATAATAGCCAAAACTCTTCAAAGTAAGGCGAGTCTATTATTTCTGCCGCCACTGTATATACTGAATACCCAAATCGTCTCAAGTCACAAAAAGAGTCACTAACTTATAGTCTCAAATTTAATGATTTCAGATGAGACTGACTTACTGAATACCAGTCTAAAGGTAATTAAAAGTAAAGTAGTGCGATTTAGAATGCGTCTCCAATCTGATTATCATATTAATATTGAAGCAGGCAATGGCAAACGTTCGAGTGTATTTTTGTCTTGGTAAAGCTTCTCATAAAACCATTCGCCATTTGAAATAGTAATAAAGATTTTCCCAGGGAAAATTTTAGACCAAAATCGGTCAATTAACAAATAATTAAAAAAAAAACGATTAGGCGTAGGCCTGTACAAGCGAAAAAATAGTACTCTTGGGTGCAAAAAGTACACTTTCGTTTGGCATCTGAAAAATCGCACAGCTGTCAATCTTTCAGATAAGCTATTCAAGTAAAGCACTTGCAACAACTCTTAGGAAAATTGTGACCATATATATTGGGTATGCCTATGGACTGAGGCTCAAGTATGGTTTGCCCTATCCAAAAGAATAGCGAACATATCATATGCGGCTCCGCGTACTTGGTAAAGCCGTTCGAACAGTAGCAAACGCTCCAGCGTTCGAAGTATTCAACTCGGTACCAGCTGGTGATATCTTAAATTGGATGGGAAAACTCGGCACAGAAGGACTTTGCCTCATTTGGCATTTCCAGTGGGCGCCAGTTGAAACAGAAAAGAAATGACTGGTTAGCTCTAATGGACTCAGCCAAAATGGCTTATGCGGTTACAGAGCCTAACAGGAAAACGTAGATGATAGATTTATACCACATGCGGTAAATTCACTTTAACTCGGAAGCAAAGTAACTAAAAATACTAAATACTTATGTGATCAGCATCACCGAACTAACCACGTCCAAGAAACATGAGTTTCATTCGTTATAATTCATTATATTTTTGCTATCAACCAGCGGTTTAGGTTTGGTTGTGTTATTCTGGGTGCCTAGTGATGTCAGATGGAGATAGCGGTTTAATTAAGTATATTCGAAGTATGCATCATTTAGGATGTCAACGCTTTTTTGAGAACTTTAGTAGTGCTTGAAGCCCAAGTTTTGCCGCGTCTTCAAAATTACACGAACATTAAGTTCTGAGCTGTACACTCCCGCTCCTACACCAGCATTCATTTTTGCGCCGTCTGTGAAGAGATTAAATGTCTTCCGGCTAGGATTTATGCCTCTACGCCATCCGTTTTCTTGGATAGTAACCCGAAACCCAAGCAAGCTACCATGTATGTAGTCTGTTGTGGGTACATGCCGTTTGGCTATATAACTTTGGCTATTGTTTCTTTACTTGAGCTCCCCAGCTGCAATCAGTCTCCCCGCGGGCTTAGCAGCAAGGCTCTTTCCCGCAAGGCGGATGGGTATTATATTGAGAATTTTTTCCAGTCCAGCCATTGAAGTTGTTCTCAGTGCTCCTATTGTACACAATAGAGAGAGAGATGTTGAACCAGCGCGTATAAAGATCAGCACATCAAAAAGTACATATTACTTTTCAACATTATTTGTAAATAATGTCTAAATAAATGCAAATGACGTCAAATGCCACAATAAGATAGAACGCGAAACGCAAAAACCTAAATCATACCACTTATTCCCCCTTTTTTTTTATAAAATTTTGCATTTAACCCCAGATACGTTTCTACATACCGTCAAATCAAAAACTTCGAAACTTGCTTAGTAGGCAGGAAATCTATGCCAAAGCCACAAGAAAAATGAAAAAAATGAAAACGAGCAACGAAACAGAAAAAGTATGCACATCGAAAATTTTTTAATGCCCCAAAACAGCACGTCATAAGTAACAAAGTAATAGAAAGAAGAGTGCTAGCTGTGAAGAAAACATATGGAGGAGAAACAAAGTTCAACTCAGCTACGTGGCATGCAACCATGTGGCAAACAGCTATTGCCCAAAAACACAAACAGTAGGTAATAGAAGCAACAAAGGAGGCAGGCGCTGACAGAAACACATATCTTCTTTTTTACATGGATATTTGCGTAAAGTTACTCGTCATATACAAGAAAAAGTTGTACAAAGTGAATCAGAACTATCTCCATGGATTTACTTCCATTAAAGTGTAATATTTTATTGCATTAAAATTCAAATTTATGTTATGTGTCACACTCCTACAGCCAGCTCACACACACACACAAACACACACACACACACACACACACACACACACACACACACACACACACAGGAAACGAAATACGCGCCCATCAACAGCGTTTTGGGGTAAGCGCCTAAAAGCTAGCTAAGGGTGAAGACCTAAAGTGCAGCGTCAGCCATTTATTTCTCAGTTTTTAGTAATTTTATCCGTTATTGTTTATTTCAATGTTTTACTCAACTTTGCGCGTTCATCTCTCTTAAGATTTTATTTTTGGAATTTTGTGATTTTTCTGGTTTTCATTTGGAACCAAGTATGCATGTGGTAAAGCTTTAGGAAATTATAGGAAAAAACATACATACCAACAAATAAATTAATGAGAATAATGAGGTACGCGAGGTAGTTTTCTCAAGTGTTCTCTTATAACATTTTTTTGGGATCCTGCACCTATGCAGGCCAGGTTGACTTTTTGACCAAATTATACATAAAGCAGATGTCTAAATCACCCTTTAAAGAGTTTTAAGCCTCGGTTAGTTCCAAACAATTTAAGCTATAAAAGTAGCAAAGTGAAACCTAACCGATGAACGATGATGTTCTTCATTGAGACATGCACAGCCTTAAAATAAGTACTTCACAGGCTGAGTATTACACGCAACCGTGTTCCATTCTTCACATATCCTGGATAGCTGTGATGTCAGCTTTTTAAATGACGAGGACAGAAATTCAGAAATTATCCTTATTTCGTAAGCGAGGGTCTTCAGCTTATGGGGCAGTTGTCATGGCATTGGCTATTGTGGGTCCCAAGCCCAGCGGACATTCCATTGATTAACGTTTCTCTTATTAGCAGGTACCGAAAAATACGCATTCCAGTTTTGGTTAAGTTCTGAACGAGAACAAATTATAATATCAAGACCGTTCAGACAAAAGAGCGAAACAAAAACCAAAGTATTGAGAGCAGTTTGAACGGAAACAAAATGAAAACATAAAGTTGAGGAACATTTCCGTAAAGCGAACAAAGCTCTCAGGAATGTTCTCAAGAAGAACAGAATGACAACGAAACTTGATTAATTCTAAGCCAGAGGAAAGCTGGATCACTTCAATTACCTATTCGTTTATTATTAGGGTGAACGGCCTTTGTATGGAACAATTTTTCATTTTCGGTGCAAGAAAAATTCATGTCTAAAGTCATTATTTCACTTAATTTGCGTCTTTCGGTTCCTTTTTAATTAATTTTAATATTCAAATATTTCACACTAATGGAACGCTATGAAACCAATTGTGTTCTCGCTTCCATTCTTTGCGAATATTTCAGGTAATATTTTTTCTGTCAGAAATATTGAGACTTTTTGGCAGCTAACTGTTCTCCGAGAAAAAGTTCCCTAGACTTTAATTCCCGTTTTGTTCTCTTAGAAATGTTTCCGAATGTATTGTTGGCATTTGGTTCTCTTTGGGAACGTTCTGCGGGGTTTTGTTCCAATATAATTCCCATTGGGAATATTCTCAATAGTTTTGTTCTCATTTTGGTTTTGGTTTTGCGGCGTTCTCGGGAATAAAACTAGGAGAACGTCATTTAGCTTTTTCTATCGATCCCTGCTTATTAATTTACAGAAGTTGTTCATATTTAATTCAATAAAATTTTATAGACTGGTTTACGAGCCAGTTTTTTATCAAAGGTCTACGAAATTTTGTTCCTTTGCCAGCGCAAAAATGCATGAATGCGCAGCAATATTAATACAAAATCTGAGGTTAAAAAAAATCATCAATCATGCACAATTATTTTTTAAATTATAACTTTTTTAATGTCCTTAGAAGACCCGAATAAAAAAGTTAACGTGCCATCGCAATAAATAATAAAGGATACTAGTTATGTATATCCATATTTAACTTAGCAGAAATGAATAAAATTGTATTTCTAAACTTCACCTCACTCGTACGAACAGATAGCGATATGAGATTATGCAAAAACCAGTTTGGGTATCTCCGTTGTATTAAAATAAATCATTTGAAATAAACTTTTGTAAATTATTTACTAATTTCTTTTTTGCTTTTTACTTTTTGCAAAAAAAGGGTATATATTTTAGCTATAAAACTCAATCGGCTATGACCTCTGCCTTTAATTCAATGAGCTGAAGCAATTCCATATGTTACAAGGTTCAGAAGCAGATTTGTTGCACAGAGAAACAGTTGGCAACTATTAAACCGTTTTTTATTACTGAAAATTTTTGAATTGGAAAAGTTACTCGATTGGGAAAATGCAAATTCAATAGAGCGGAATAGAAAGAAATGAAACTATACAAATGCTTATATAAATATGAATAACATAACTATTTATATACATATGTATGTATATAAATATTAACATATTAAATAAGTTGCACTCCACATAGGAGTAGGTGCAGTAAAAATTAATTAATTATAAATTGTCAAAATGATCGCGGCTGTATGTTTTCAATGAAGTAAGCAGATACCCTTTAGCCTTCTGGCTATGTCACGGGGTAGCTATTTTTTCCAGACGTATAAAAACTTAAAAAAATATGCACTTAATTTTATGAGTAAAACTTCCTTTTAAGTCTTAGGGCCCTATTATCGTTCGCGAGTCGAATTAAAAATTAGTCGAATAGGCCGATTTCATATTATTGTTCGCGGTTCGCCTGCTGCTCGCCCGTGACATTCGCGTCTTAGGTCGAACGTTCAAATTTTGAAATTACGAAATACCATTCGACTAAACAACGTTCGCCTCAGCTTTCAAAAGCTGGCGAAGGAAATTTGTGCGTGATAATAAATAAAATAAAATCTAAAAATATAAAAAATATGTTACAAATTGAAAATAAAAGGTACATACATGCATATATTAATAAAAAAGGGGTTATTTGTGCTAATATATGTATATGTAAATAATTTTCACAATATTTAAGCAGCATGAAGAAAACGAATGCGCGGCAATTTGAAAAAATGGTGCAAATGATGCGGGAGCATCCAGATGTAGCTCGAGGACTTGGTGCTTTCGGGTCCAATAAAAAGGATACAGCAGAGCTGTGGAAACAGCTATCAGTTCAATTGAATGCACTTGGTCCACCAGTGCGTGATGGAAGAGGCTGGAATAAGGTAAGTCAGTGAATTACAAATCTCACTCTGGGGGAATGCTGCAGCCGCCAACATAAACATTTCATTATTCATATTTTAAGGTATGGCTCGACTATAAGTTAAAGCTGAAAAGAAAAATAGCACTGAACAGAAGTGAGAGCATCGCTACTGGCGGTGGACCTTATCGCCAGCTGACATTATCACCTCTCGAGCAGGAGGTTGACTCTCTTCTAGGCTTAGAAAGAGCAGCGAATCCTGAAGGCGTAAGTCATGGTGCCAGCAACAGTATCAGTGCTCCACTTGCTTCAGAAAACTGTATTGAAGAGGAAAATCTTCAAAGCGAGGTTGAAGCTACCCCTCGCAGGAGAGTGCGTTCGTCGGTAGTAAATGCGGATGTAAGGGAAAACGAACGAATTGAGATGCTGAAGCAGCAGACGCTTAATCAGGAGAAGTTACTAAAAGTGGTAAGAGGCCTGGGTGAAAAAATGCACGACATTGGAAGATATGCGCGGAAAACTTTTGAAATTTCGAAACAAAAAGAAGCTCGTGAGGAGAGGGAACACTTCGAACGGATCCAGCTGCAAAAGCAAAAACTCGAGCTAAAGCTCCGGGAGCTTGAGTTGAAAGAATTAAAGTATAAAAAGCATTTATAAAAAAATTGTACTTAAATTATATCGTCACCTAAAATACCAAAAGACGTAAAAAACATCGTCACTGAAATGGAAAAAGATGTGACTAATAATTTTTTTGCATAATTCGATGTGGGGAGTTATAATTCNCTCCGTCGCAATCTTTGAATGATAAGCCCTTCATTACTGTAGCTGTCCTCATAAAATATATCCACACTACTCATCATTTTGTTTAATTATTTATTTAGGCCTTTTATTTATTAAAATTTGAAAAAATTACAATTCGAAATAAATATAGATATTTTAAATTGACGTTTGGCAGGCGTGCGACAGACGTCAATTTCATTTCTTATGTTGGTAACAAGGCGAATGAAGTCGAATCAATTCATTCGCCAACGGTAATACAAAACTATTGCCCACTCGCCAAATAAGACGAATAGAAATAGTAATTCGACTAGCGAACGATAATAGGGCCCTTAAGAACTGCCTAGCTGTCTGAGTAAATATATAATCTGATAAGCAGTATCCAAAGCCCCTATATATAACCTGGCAACTGCTTCTTGTATTACGGATAGTTCTAAGGTTATGCTACACCTCCCGAAGATGGCCAAGCAGAAAAGACTTCACCTCACTTGGGTCCCTGGCAAGGCAAGGCACGACCAGGCAGATTCTTCCTGGTAAAGAACGCATTGGTATGCCTTTTTCCACTTGCAAGCTGCTACTTAATGAATTTGTTTACAAATTAGCTGAAGTACGACTTGTCTAATTTCCAGGCAGACTTGGCCTTAATATGACCGGAAGCGTACACGAAGGGTATGCTCTCTTAGAAGAGAGGACGCATCTAACGTCGTGGGGCCCTAACCGGGCACTGTCTAATAGGTAAGCATGCGGAAAGGTTTAGCGTGCCATTCCGGAACGGTTGCAGAAGCTGCAAGGACGACGAAGAGCAGAAAACAGTCTTGCATATCTTGTGTAAATGCCCTGCAATGTGTAGAAGCAGGCTGCGTCACCGTCTAGGTGCACCGTTCCTGGCCGCCCTTAGGGAGGTTTCAAATATCGATGCGAGCAGCCTGATGAGATTCATCAACGACACGAAGTTATTCAATAGGGAGAATAATTGAACGGTGTCAACTATGATAACACAATACGCCTTTTATCTATGACCTAAGTGTGCCACTAAGGCTAAGTAGCCACCTCTACCGACCTACCTAATTTAATATTGATTGAGTTCAAATTTAGTACCAAGTAGCCAACATATCAGTACTTCAAACAAGAGTAAGCACCTGGCTGCGATGTTGTAAATCCAGTATACTACTTCATTTCATGAGCATGCTCTATTCGTGGCCGATTGTTGGTCTACATATTTAAATAGCAGTTTGAATTTTGATCGGCGATTTCATTGAGGGAATCTTGGGGGTGAGTCTAGCGTACTCAGTTCTATAAGCCTGTGGCCCGAAATGGAGTGCTCTTTGATTACCCGCTAGGCTGAGATCTGATCACTGAAAGTATCAATAAGAAAGGTATTATCAAGAGTTTCTGTGCGAATTGTTGAATGGAATCAAACTCACTTCCATTGTTGCAAATAGCAAGATTAGTGCTTAGCAAATAATTATTGAGAAACTTATAACGTTCATTAATATTAATGCTGTCCCATTTGATGAATGGAAATTCGTTTCCCTTTCCAACAACAGCATAATTTTTGGTGGGTTTGTGCTTCTGCCCAATTACAACTGCGAGTGAAAATAAAGCGCTTATTTTTCATACAGATTTCAGTTATAATTCGCTTATTCCCCGAGGCATAACTATTTATACAATTAGACTATTTGACAATTTAGACTACTGTGCACATGATTATTATTACATATTTTTGTTTCTCTTGGGTAGTCCAGCGTGAACAATGAATTTTCCAATTTAACTGAGTGCATTTCACTCTTTTTAATTTACACCTTCTCAAACCTCCTGCGAAGATTGATTCATGCATTAGGGAAATGAGCTGGAGAACAAAATGCGTAAATGCTTTCAATATGTAGGCTCACGCACATACAAGCTCATAAACATATAAACTTAAGAAAGTGGAAATGTGCACATTCATCGGTTCGATTTGTACGCATTTCAATCTTAAAAACCTTACACGTACGTGGCGGAGCGCCGTACTCGCAACATGGAAAAGCACCATGGAAGGCCGCCTTATTCTTTTCATTCTAGGGGTATTCTCGAAGTCTTGCACGATGCACGGATTGCACGAAATGCAAAAATACTATTCCAAATTTCGAAGAGTACGAGAACACCCCATTGCAAAGTGGTAGCATGCATGGGGAGCAAGCAGCGAAATTATGTATCAAATACAATAACAAGAGACAGCAAAAAAAAATTAAGTGAGCGAGATGAGAGGAATGAGAGAAATATGTAGCAATTCCAACAACAAAACAACTAGCACAGGGTCGCTATTATCTTGCTATGCTATTTTGCAAAATATATACATGGGTTTCGACGTTGCATATTTTGCAGCGATAGGAAATGTTGTTTCCCATGAATTTTCTTGTTGTGTGTTTGCAATTTATGCAATCCGTGCAATCCGTGCTACGTGCAATGGCTTTGCAAGATTTGGAGAATACCCCTTCTGTATTTCGATTTGAATGCATGGATGCGTACATATTAATGTATGTATGTACATATGTATTAGATGTGCCTGTGAATGTATGATAATATTCTTCGATTTCGTAGGCAGTATCGAATTAAGCTCCTGGCTTGAGTGAGTAGACCTTTCGTTGAATGAATGAGGAGCGGTGACATGCAGCTCTGTTTCGACTAAAAGAGTCAAAAATTAACAACTTTTCGTGCTTCCCTGAGAAAGACTGTTGTTTACGAGCGAGTGCTTTCAAACGTGCGCTCAGGTATATACGTACATATGTATGAATTTTTTTGTACATAATAAAGATGCTTGATACATTTTTAATATTGAGGATTTGCAATTGATAGGCGCTTTCTCGAACGCTAAGGATTTACAGGTGAGCTACTGCAAGCAACTCGGCGTCATTTGCCATTTGCAACTTTATATTCTATCAGCAAATATTCAACGGCATACGAACCCAAATATTTATGACAACATAAGTAAATTGAGAAGCAATGAATTAAATTTAATTTAAAGGATTTTATTTCTTTTGCATCTTCTTTTTTTATTGTAGTGATGGCATACAAAAAGCGGCAAATTCCCTTACCAAAAATATGACGCTGCAAGATACTTAAGTACCCTTAACTTCCGTAATTGTCTTTGCTTGAGTGAAGTTGGTTGAACTTTTATTTATGTATTTACCTGTGGTTACTCAAATCGAATTTTGGTTTTTTATGAGCTTACGTGATCTAATCAAAAATTCGTATCCAATAGAATTTGTTTGGTGCCGCATGTAAATAACTATGAGGAAAAGTGCGGCGATTCCCCTGCTCCTGCTCCGCTGGGTTACTTGAGGGATGCGGTAGGACATTGGACTATGAGTAGCGAGGAGTCGCTTAGGTTGCTCCTGGATACTCACTTTCCTTCCAGTCCCGCCCTTGAGGAAATATCCTTAGGGGAAGTGCGTGGAGACTGCGCTGATTTTTCTGACCTCTCCGATGAGCGCCGCCTGGCGTGGGCAATTAACTCGTTCGAACCCTTCAAATCCCCAGGACCCGATGGTATCATGCCTGTGTAGCTGCAAAAGGCGGCGGAGGTGCCATGCCGTTTGTTGACCCCAATCTACGCGAGCTGCGTTAGATATGGGTACATTCCCAGGGGTTGGAGGGTCGTCAAGGTGGTGTTCATCCCGAAGGCCGGAAGGAGCTCTCATGTTGTCCCCAAGGACTTCAGGCCGATCAGTCTCTCATCGTTCCTGCTGAAAACGTTGGAGAGGCTGGTTGACATGTACATAAGGAGCATGATTCCTCTAGATCGCCTATCTAGAGCTCAGCATGCTTACTGTAAAGGAAGGTCGGTAGATACTGCTCTGCATACAATTGTGAGGTGTGTAGAGGAAGCCTTCACTCACAAGGACTTCGCCGTAGGAGCCTTCCTCCATATCGAGGGGGCTTTTAATGATGTTCTTCCGGACGCAATAGTTAGGTCGCTAGATAAGCTTGGTGTTGAGGTCAGTCTCATTAGGCTCATTGAGAATTTGCTGCGTGACAGAACTGTCATGGCCGTCTCTCGTATGGTGAACAGGGGCACCCCGCAGGCAGGGGTTCTCCTACCCCTTCTCTGCGTCGTCGTGGTGAATGAGCTACTGGTGGAACTGGATAAACACGGCTGTCGGGTAATTGCCTATGCAGACGATGTTGCACTCCTAGTTAAAGATAAATACCTTAACACGCTGTATGAACTGACCCAACGGTACCTTAACATAGTTACTAACTGGGCGGCCAAAAGTGGCCTCGCCGTCAACCCCAGTAAGACAGAACTGGTCTTATTTACAAGAAAATATAAAATCCCCGCCGCTGTTCTTCCCTCGGTTGGATATCTGCGCTTACAGCTGTCTGACAGGGTCAAGTACTTGGGCTTGATCGTAGACAGGAAGTTTTCGTGGGGGTCAAACATCAAGGAAAGGGCAAAAAAAGGCATCAGTGGCCTTGTATTGCAGCAGGGGAGCTATTGGTAAGAGATGATGAGATCTCCCCTAAAGTTGTCTACTGGCTTTACGAGACCATAGTCAAGCCAATTATGTTTTATGGCGCCCTAGTCTGGTGGAACTCGCTGAAAAGGGCTACACTAGCTAGACAGCTGGAGCGAGTACAACGGGCTGCATTATTTGATATTAGTGGGGCACTGCGGACCGCCCTCACACTAGCATTGAACGTAATGTTAAACGTAGCGCCTGTCGACGTTGCAGGCAGAATTGTCGCGGCGCGAACGGCTATTAGACTCAGGGAAGCCGATTGGCTGACCAACCTAGGGACTGGACACTCTGAAGTTTTAGGGCGCTGCGATTTCATCCCGAATCGTACGGATTACTGCACCACTGATATTAATTGGTTATTGTTTAGTTGTTTTTTTTTAATAATTTTGCTCTCATTTTAATATTTTTTGTTTTGTGTTATTTAGTTAGTTGAAAGCTTTCTTCCCTATTCACTTCTCCTTCTGCCAGAATCAGTAGAGCCAGCCGTCACGCCTGTT